GTTAATATTATGTCTATATGATAGTATATTAATATCAACGTAGATAGTTATATTAACTGGGATATAGTTGTTTAAATATAATATTTTGAATATATACAACTATTATCAACTTTTTAGCATGTTATTATACTAATGTAGATCTTGAATTATACTTAGGATTCTATATATATGTATATATATATATATATATATATATATATATGTTGTGTGCGATATAGTTCTGAAGTTATATTCGGAAGTTGTATATGTTAATTTATAAAGTATGTTGCTATTATTGGTTTTATCTCAAGATAAAACTTGGTATGCTATGTGTTGTTATTGTTGGTTTTATGACAAGATAGAACTTGGTATGTTATTTGTTGTTGTTGGTTTTATGATAAAACCTGGTTTCTCCTTAAGTTATAGTTGTTATATTGCCTAAACTAATATGAACTTAGGAGTAATGTTTAAAAGCAAAATCTAATAACTTAGGGTTTTAGATACGAAAATGATTTTGTTGTTAGAGCTATACGAAGTTGTTAAAGTCTACATGAGTAATTATATTCATCAACTAAGATTGGGGAGCTTAGTAGAAATCCTCTAAGCTGTAACCGTTAATCCCGTGTGAGCGAGGAAGTCGTGTATAATTAGTATACGGGTTGACAACCCCACTCATGGTTGCTACCTACAATCAAATTTAAGCGAGTGACGAACTATCCTTTTATTTGTTATTTGTTCCGGTGTCGATGAAGCGTGCGTTGTTCCTCATGGAAATCATGAGTGGGTTGTCCTTATGGAAATCATGAGTGGGTTTTCCTCATGGAAATCATGAGTGGGGTTTATCAGATGTATTATGTCATAGCAACGGTTACAGGCTCATGGTCGCAAATTGTTAGAAAAATTACACTTTGTCGGCATACAAGTATAAATGTTAAGTATAAGTTTCCCCATACTTATACCCTAGGTACATGGAATGTTTAGGTATATCACTTAATTGATAAGTAAACTGTTATACCTAATATATCTACTAAACGTTGGAGAGTCAAAATGATACTTTCAAAACTATACTTTTGAACTTGGAAAATGTATTATTTTTATGTGGAGTCAAAATCTATGGACACATCAACTTTATGTTGACGTATTTTTGAATGCATGTGTTTTCAGGAAATTGAAAAGTTGGTATGTATTCGAACAGGAGAAGTTTTACTATTACCTTTCTGTTCATTAAGAAGTATACAATAGTTGGATATTATGTAATAGGTTCTAGAAAAACAGTAATGTAACTTTCAATCATCAATAAAGGTATGTATTTTCTTTAGTACTGTTCAATGTATGTTATATAACTGTGATACGAAGAATGACGTTACACCACTCGGTGTTTCCGCCGACGGCCGGGGTGTGACACTATTTGTATATATTTTTTTAAATGTATGTTATATAATCTTAATGGTTTTAATGTAATAACCTCTACAACACATAGATCTTTGAAGTCGTTTTGCAAGCAATAGTTGTTTTGGCAAGTGGTATCTTGAAGACCCTTTAAAAGTGTCTCTTATGTCCCTTAGGAATGTTTGCTCACAAATTTTATTTTCAGTTATGGTTTGGTTTATACACATTTTAAGGCATGTTTGTGATGTTTATTTTATGTTGTTGTATGTTATTTTTTATGTATGAAAGTGGATTTTACATGTAAAATAAATTTTTATCATAAAATAAAATCACTTGGAGTTTGAAAAATAAATATTTAAAAGATAACATAAGATGTTTATAAATGACTATTTATTAAAATATTTTTTAACCGGTTAAAATCGAGTTTTTGTTAAAAGTAGTTTTATAGTAAAACTTTTAAATAGTCAACTTTAAAATATTTAAAATGGTTTAAAAAGTATTTAAACTTTATCTAAACTCCATTTCATTTATAAGAAATAATATTTTTATTAAAAAAGACTAAAATCTGGTACATAACGTTGTAACGTCGAATTATAATACTAGTTATTATTTTTACATTAAAACCTAATATATGATATTAGTTTTTTAAACTACACGACATGTTGATATTATGTTTTATGCATGACCAATGATATCTAAAATATAATTATCATCACGGAAGTTTTGATTTATCAAAATATAACTTTTTATCACAAGATGTATAATATGAGTTTATGGAATAAAATGAGTTTTATTCTACAAATTCATAAATTCATAAAATTTTATTATTGAACGGAGATTTAGAATTTTGATTTTAGAACTCATCCAAAGCTCCAATTCTTAAATATAATACGAATTTTTTTTAAAAGACTATAACAAGTTCTTACAACGCTCTATGACTAAACTTTAAATATCATATTTCAGTTTATAAGTGATCATAGCAAATGGTAAATAAAATAAAGTTTTATGTGGAACCTAAAAGAACCTTATACAAGTAATATTCCTGAGATCATCTTTTTATACCTATATTTGTAAAACATATATAAAACATTTTCTTAAAAATGTAAGTCAATGTCGTCCCTTTTGTAGATCACTCACTCATCATTTGTATAGTCTTTGTGGTGGTGGGTCACCTAACTACTTGGATTTGACTTATGATGGTTAGGTGGTTTTTGGATTTGCTAGTGGGAGATGAGTCACGTGACCACTAATATAATGTTGATACCACAAGTACTTTCAAGAAGGATAATATGATCAAAAATCTTGTCTGATAAAGGTCACCTAAGTATGAGAGACCTGAGGCATAAATGGGGTAAAACATGCCAAGTTAAACAAAAGTGGTTTAGGATTTCATTATCTAGGAATTACATTATCACACCACCGACTGAGGCGGCGGAACATGCCAAGCTGTGCAACTAAGTTCATGGATCACAGGTAAACTGAATATATATAACACTAGTCCATTAATAAACAATATAGCATTGATGCTCCATCTTGATATTTGAATACAATGTTTTTACAAGTAATAATAATACATGATTTGCCTTAATAGATAGGCATATAATACAACAACAAGTAAACTAGCTCATTTGTAATCCAATCCGTCTTGAATGTCTATTTAGTGATTTCCTAAGAATACATGTATTTTTTAGGGTCAACACAAGGTTGGTGAGAGTCACAGGTTTTCTGGTAGCAACAGTAATGATACTTTTAAAAGCGTTTCAAAAAGTATTTTCTTTATAAGTAAACCATATTTAAATCAGCTTTGAAAAATCCAAAGAGTGTCTTGGTATAAGTAATTTCATTTTTAAACAGGTTTTTAAACGAACCAAGTTTATGAGTTGTAGTAAGATATATATATATATATATATATATATATATATATATATATATATATATATATATTCTAGTTAGTGTTTATAGTGGGTCCTATAACTGAGCTATATGACTTGAGTGAACCCTGCTACAATGCTTCATTGGTCGTTGCACTAACGATTGTAGACACTGTTAGAAATATGGTTTAGTGGCACGTGGAAATCTGAGAATCGTGATAATCACTTTCAAATCGAAGTATTTGGGTGGTACTCCCAAATCCTCAATTGGATAAGACTCAGATAAAATTAGAGAGAAAAGAAAGAGAGAGTGAGATGGTGTAATTTCGTGAGTACCAGGAATGTGACTAAAATTGGTTATAAACCTTCCTTATCTACCCCTTGGACCCAACCAGGGGCTGCCGCCCCTTGGACCCCTCTCCCAGGGGCGCTGCCCTCGGTCGTTCGTTCAGGGGCTTCACCCCTAAATGACAGTATACTTTAATACTTGATTAAAATTAAACAAGTGTGTACTCCACACCTTCCTTACTTGTTTAAAATTTATCAAGATCATTTTTAGTCAACAAAGTAATCCCTATTACTGTTAAATAACATTGATGATAACAAATCACCAATATACACTATCACCCGCTTTGATTGATCAGTCGAGGTTGTAGCTAGCAACTGCAGGTGGGGATGTCAACTCCGTATAGATCTATACATATGTATCTCGCTCCAAAGATTAATAGTTACAGTAGTGTGGGTATGCTAAGTGTTTAAACTCAGCAAATGAATAACGTCTCATTAAAAAAGCCCTTAAATAAAATGTTTATGAATAGCTCTCAGCCCTAACTGAATTGTGATTAAGTCACTAGGCATATTGAATTTCATTGTATAGAGTTTATAAAAGCCAAGTATGTTTGGTATGTATGTAAAAGTGTAATGTACTTGCTTTGATAAAGATGTATGTTTCAAAGTAATGAACAAATGTACATGAATAAATTTATGCATCTAAACATATAAATATACATGAATAATAATAGTTTAATCCTTGAAATACGACAAAGTGTTATAACATGCTTGTCGTAATATACAATGCCATATAAAAATCATATATTTTTTTATCATGTAACATTTGTCTTGTGTACTGGTTATTTCATGATAAAATTTTCAAAATATATATACGAAAATTTTATACTAGTTATTTGTAACATTATGTCAAATTTTTAAATAACATTTTTATAAAGTAGATTTGTTTTATTTTCGCCTAAGGGATAATATATTTGTATAAACAAATATATAGGCACATGTATTCCCCTTCCCCGAAATAATTAAAATATTCAAAACGAAGCGTAAGCACTCACCCTTCTGAGAAACATGTTGTATGAACCGAAAATCTACAATTCTTGAACTTTGAAATACTCTCGGGATCGTTTCAAACAAAGATAAACTTTTGGGGGTTGTTTAGTAATTTAATTAACCAAAATATGATTAATTTGGTAACTTGAACAAACTATAGGGGCTGGTATGTAACTTCTTAATAAATGAGACTATTTTGGTGGATAATTATCACAATAAGGGTTGTTTTTGAATAAATAGGATCCTTATTTGGGGATTGGGACTAATTTTGAATAAAGGTTTAATAGTGAGGGTAATTTTGTCATTTTGTCGAAGTCAAAAGGGGTTAGGGATTTTTAATTTCCCGTCTCTTGTTTTGATCGGACAAATAAAGGAATGCACGAAAGCTTCCAGCAGATGGAACGAAGGCGACGAAGCAGATGAATGAAGGGAGTTGAATCGAGGACGACGAGAACGAAACGGGAAGTCTCGCAGGCACGATTTCGTCGGTTGATTCGCGAAGAGGAAGGAGTCTCCGGGGGTTCAACGAGGCCAAAGGGGAAGGTGGGTGAAGCAGCGAGGCTTCCCTCTTCTCGTCCGGCTACGGGGAGCGAATTCCAAGCGTCGCAAGCGATAATAGCTTCGATGCAGGCGAGGTTTTCGGAGGTTTTGCTCGATCGGAGAAGGGGAGATGTGCCAAAGGTTCGACCAGTGGGAAGGAAGGGTTCCAATGGGACAAAGCAATCAGTGACGTGAGCAGCAACAGTGGAGCTAGCGAGCCTTCGGCCGTGTTTTGCTCCGGTTGGTGGCAGGTAAGTGGATGGGTTGCGAGGCTGGTGGGGCTGCTTCAGCAGTTCCCTTAGTCTTTCTTCTTCCTTATTTTTCTTTTGGCAGAATTCGATAAGCTTAAGTGGGTGTTTGGGTTTGATCTTTAAATGTAGGTAAGGAAGATAAATCAGCACAATGATCTCAGGGGTGTTTGTTTGCTATTGTTTGATAATCAAAGATAGGAAACACAAAAATTGGGCTACTGCCATCTTGGTATCGATAAAAAAAAAAAAAAGAACACACCTCAATGGTGTGTTTATGGCAGAAGAACGAAAAAGAGGAAGAATGTAAGAATGGTTTTCCTTTTCTTTTGTGTGCGATATTGTAGAAAATGATTTTTTGCAAATTGTAACTTGGAATTGTGTATATAAAATCTGATCTTCTCAGATTTGATTTGATTTTAACGTGATTTGTTGTGTACAATTTGGTAATTTGGTCTATAAGTGTATTTTGCGTACAATTTGATAATATGGTGTATTAGTGTATTTTTTGTACAAAGTAAATGCAGTTTGTATTAATTAATTTATTTTTTTACCAAATATTGCACTCCTTGAATTGTATTATGTACGTATGAAACTCACAATTTATTTAAACATTTTTCTTTGTAATTTCTGGTGTGAGAGTGGGTATGAGCTGAGGGTGGACGAGAATGGAGATATGGAGTGGTTAAAAGTTGGAAATAAAAGTAATATATATATATATATATATATATATATATATATATATATATATATATATATATATATATATATATATATATATATATGGAAAAGTGAATATACCCTTAAGGGTATATAAGCTCAGGTACCCAAAACCATTATAATACGTCATTTTGTTTAATATATTCATTATAATGTTCTTAAACTTCATCCATTGACATGATTTTACTTTCAAAATTTTTGAAATTTCATTATTATCTTCCTCTTACATCACATCTTTTTGCCGAACCCCTACTAGGCTATATATTATAGTTGAAAATTAAAATTATGTAAGAGGATTATATAAATGTGAAATTGACAAAAATATTGGAAGTAAATCAAGTTGGATAATTACAATGTATATATGATACAAAACGATTTAGTATAGTGAGTTTGGGTACCTAAGCTTATATATCCTTAAAGGTATATTCACTTTTCCTATATATATATATATATATATATATATATATATATATATATATATATATATATATATATATATATATATATATATTAAAATGTATCACAAAACATGTACATATTAATGATGCAGAAGGGTTATAATTATGTAACATATATACATTATAATTAACATTTGTTGCTAGTTAACTCATACAATGTATGTTAATGAGATATATAAAGAATTGAAAATTAATACATAATAAGTGTCCAAAATTTTCATATATACTATTAATTGGTTTTTGGAAATGTTACATGACATATATATACATATATATATATATATATATATATATATATATATATATATAAATATTTACATATGTATTTTATGTTTTTATATAATTTTAATTATATAACATATATGCATTGTGTTTTGATAATTGTTACTTATTGTATTTTTTATAAAAACTCTAGTAGTTACGTTTTGCATTTGACAATAAAACATGTCTCTCTCTCTCTCTCTCTCTCACACACACACACACACACACACACACACACACATATATATATATATATGTTGCGTGCGATTTTTGAAATGTTATTTTATTTCCACCTTTAAAATTCACATCAACCAGAATTGAATTCTTATAACTTTCCGGAATACATTGGAAACATGTCGAAATTAATAGTTTATTGTTTCGCGATTAATAAATCTGAAACGTCTAATTTTTTTCAACTTTTATAAATATTTTTACCAAAAAGATTCCAAATATAAAACTAAATATTTGGCTATAGTTGAAATGAACTCACTTATTTCACATAAGATGTACTAAAACTCAATGAGTCAAATTACGAAGAGACTTACTGTAAACTTGACCGTTCATAGTCTTTGACATAAATTCTAGGATGTCACATTACCTTCTCGTTAAAGGATTTTCGTCCCGAAATTATTATGTTCGAGAATATTTTATTCTAATATCATTTCATTCCATTAGTGCAAAGAGCACCACTGATCATTGTTGCGGATACTTTTGTTTCATCCGATCCTCACGTGCCTAAATAAACTTTGGCTCTCTATGAGAGTTCCATCGGCCGTTTACTATAGGTATTTTACTTTGTTTGAGGCTTTTGATTTCTTGATCCATGATCTCCACCGGTTCCTTCACGAAGAGAAGTTTAGTGTAGACTTGGATCTCATCGAGAGGAATGACAAGGTTCTTACTAGAGAGATACTTTGAAATTACACCCATGGAAGGTATTGCGAACTTTACTGAGTTCTTGAGGTAAATTGAGTTTGTCAATTAGCAAACCAATCCCTGCTAGGATTTCAAAAGGTCTGATGTAAAGGGGGGTTTAGTTTACCTCGTTTTCTAAATCGAATGACATTTTACCATACTGCGACCTTTAGTAGGACACGGTCTCCTATTTTCAATTCTAGTGGTTTGCATCTGATGTCCGCATAACTCTTCTATCGACTACGTGCGGTGTTTTATCGGTCCCTTATTTGAAATATCTTCTCCATTGTTTCATAAATGATATCAGGACCAGTGAGTAGAGAATCTCTGGCATGCTTTTTAGCTAATGGAGTATCTCCAAATTCTGCACAACATAGTGAAGAACTACATCTATGTCCGTATAAGGACTCGAATGGAGCAACCTTTATTCTAGTGTGTGTAACATCCCAAGTCAGAATCAAGAGTTCAGGGGGTAAAGTGTAAGTTTGGAAAAGAGGAACTCGGTGAGTAGGAGCTGCAACTCGCCGAGTATAACCGTGTGCCGAGCACATGTTAAGTGATCGGACTCGCTGAGTCGGAGGCTGGACTTGACAAGACTGTGCTGGAATGAGAAACCCTAATTCCTAGGGTTTGCTCCCTATTTAAAGAATTATATGCCTTCATTCCAACCTCTATCTTCCCTGAGTGTTCCAGAGAAACCCTAAATTGTGAGAGACTCCATTGTTTAGAAGATTGAAGCTTGGAAGAAGAAATTGGTGAAGAGAAGTTTGAGGAATTTGAGGATAGCATCAAGAGAGCTTGTTGATCTGCAGTCTACATCAGTTTAGACTCATATCTAAGGTAAGAGGACCTTACCTTAAGTTATTTCCTTGTTATTTCATCCATGGTGTGTGATTTGGGGTTCTTTAGCATGGTTGGGATCTATTTCGAGTATAGAGACTAGATTTGAGGTTGCAACTTTAGATCTAGGTTGGTTTGGAGCCATGAGATCAGAAAGTGATAATTTTGGGGAGTGATTGAGAGTGTCCTTGCCTTAAACCTTCATTTTTAGCTTGTTCGAGCTTGTTGAGCCTTGCATGCACATAAAGTCGGAAACTTTACGTGTGAATCTGGCCCTAGGAGTCCAGATCTATGTATTAGAAGCAATGGAATGGCCTGTGATCGTCTGAATGAAGATGTCACGAATGGACTCGGCGAGTCTGGGAGATGACTCAGCGAGTCGGGCTAAGGATCAGACTTTGATTCGCGTAGTAACTTGGCGAGTCACGTGGGTGACTCGGCGAGGAGTATGATGATGAGCATGGACTCAGCGAGTTGGAAGAACAACTCGGCGAGTCTATTAAAGATTGCCTTGGACTCGGAGAGTCTGTTCTTGGACTCGGCGAGTCTAGTAATGAAGTCCTAACCTTTTCTGGTTGAGCTGTGAATTGGTGAGTCGAGGGATGACTCAGTGAATTCAGCAGGAAGGGAATCAGAGCTTGTTTGACTCGACAAGTCTTGGGGGGACTCAGCAAGTTGAGTCGTGGCATGTAACTTTCTGAGCATAGGAACTCGACGAGTCAACGGGTTGACTCGGCGAGTAGGGACAACCAGGAAGGTTGACTTTGACTAGGACAAAGGGTTGACCAGTTTGACTTCCAAGGGTATTTTGGTAATTATTGGTGTTTATTGGTTTTGGTTATTTGGTAATGATCAATGGTGGAGTTCGTGCTGGTGGTCGGAGCAGCATAGTCTTATTTCTTCAAGTCAGCAGTTGCAGGTGAGTTATCCTCACTATATCGACAGGGGTTAATGCACTAAGGTCGGCCCTTTATCGGATTGAAATCCGGGTATCTGTTTGATATGTTATTGCTTGCTATGTCTGTATCCTGGTATATATATATATATATATATATATATATATATATATATGATGCCATGTTAGAGACCTAGTTAAGGTCGGTATCCTGGTATATAGGATGATACTATGTTAGTGACCGGTTAGGTCGGTATCCTGGTTAGGATGTTGCCATGATATGTGATCTGCAAGATTGGTTTGATTAGATGTGAATTGTTATATGATTATACGTTATGTGTATGGTATTGTGGTTGGTATTTTGGGGGTAACTCACTAAGCTTTCGGGCTTACAATTTCAGTGTATTGTTTTAGGTACTTCAGGAGACCGTAGCAAGGCGAAGGCGTGATCGTACCGCTCCTCATATTTTATGTTGATGTTCTGGGATACTCTGATAATAAAAGAATTGAAAACCTGTTTGTAATAACTTAAAGAATATGGGTTGTTGTTGAAAATTGGTTGTAAATTTTTACGGTCGTTACAGTGTGATAACCATTGTTATGTGAACACTTAACTAGTAACAAGTGAGTATGCCATGTATTACCGAAGTTTATCACATAAGCGCGGAGCTTGTCTTCCAAGGTTTGTATCTTTCTTTTACTCTAGTCATCCGTTTGTGGATGATATGTTGTACTCATGTCGATTTTTGTTGCTAGGAAACTTTGCAATGATTGCCAAAATATGGAAGTGAATCTACTATCTCGGTCCGAGATAATAGATATTGGCACACATTATAGTCTTACTATTTCCTTGAGATAGGTTCTGGTGAGTTTCTCCATCTTGTCGTTTCTTTGATAGCTTGGAAATGGGTAAACTTGGTTAAACAGTCAACCACTAACCAAATTTTGTTTTTATAGCTTGAAGTTCTTGTTGGAATAGTGTCTAAGGCTGCAACTATATTAGGCAAGTATTTGACCCGATTGTGCATGGTCCTTTTGGGTTGCCTTCACCATAGCAACTTGGTAGGATGATTTATTATGAGAGAATAGATATTATTAATATATTATGAGAATAATATAAGGAATAATAATATAGTTATTTGATTAATATAAGTCATAGATTAATTAGTATTAATTTGGTGACTTAAGGAGATTAATTAAATAAGAGGGTATAAACTGTCA